CTGCGCAGGGCTGTGCTACTTATATGTTACTTACTACCACAAGTATAATGTTGAGGTATGCCCAGAAAAAACGTTTATAGCCCCGGCCTGTATTAGAGACCGGCCATTATTTACCTCCTCTGACAGCGAGACCGGCCATTATTAGAGACCCGGCCGCTATTGGAATACAGGCCAATATTAGAGAATTTACGGTATATATATATATATATATCCTTCTGCAATTTGCAAATGTACTCCAAAAAAATCTGAAGCAGCCACAATGTGTGGTTGTGTATAAAAACTAACATTGTAAACACACCATCTCATCTACAGTTTTTTATTAGCAGGACAGAAAACAAGGTCAGAGTAAATCACTTGGAGCACAAAAGGTCAAGCCATTAACAGTTGCATAAATGATATTCCTCTTACTCTTTTTTATTGTCTTCAACTTTATCTGGGACCAGGTTGCAGGGGCAGCAGTCTCAGATTTCCCTCACCCCAGAAACCTCCTCCAGCTCTGCTGGGGGAAACCTTGAATTACTCAAGGTCCAGCAGAGAAACATAATCCATTGTGTCCTGGGTCATTCCTAGTGTTCTAGTACTCGAGATCGGTCCTATTTTTAGGCTTTTTGTCTCGTCTTGGTATAGACAGCATTTTTACTCCGTCTCTCCTCATTCTCAGATAAGGTGGCCTCTGGTTTATTTGAACGAGACTAGTGGAGCACATTGCTGATAGGCTTTTTGCCTACCTTACTGATGAAATGTAAAAAAAAAAAAAAAAATGATTCTCTCAATAAACAGCTAAAAAAACTTAAAATCATTGGTAGTGTAATTATACCACCCAGCTGCAGCTGCCACCTGCCCACAGTCTGTGTGACACTGACTGACACACCCCTGTGCATCTCCCTTAGCATAGAAAAAGGCGAGAAGATGGGAGGAGGCTACTGTGTGAAAAAAGGAAACACTAATATTCAAAAATGTTAGCAAAAAATATCTTACGGAAAAGTCACCTTTTTCCCACAGCTCGTTTAACATTAGAAGTCCATTAGATACTAGAATTTTTTTTCATGCTGTAATCCCCTGGATATTAGCATATTAGCATTCTTCTCTGAGTAATATTTTCAGAACTAAATTTTAGCTCAAGCTTACCTGCCCCTGAAATGAGAGGAAGGCTGCTCTGTTTATGCAACATTGATTCATCTCTGCATATATTAATGCACAACAGATATTGAGCAGCAGTGCAAACTCTACCCCTGTTAAGTTAGTTTCAAGCTGGATATTCAAAATCCTCAGAGTCAGCAGCATGGGACTCACGGTTGATCCGTTGAGTCACTCTCATTATGAAGTGAACCATGGAGAACAGGGAGCAACAGCTCTAGAACAGATGGCCATAATTACAACTCCTGAATTGGATCAACCGCAATGACTAAGATGCAGTTGCTTAAATGTCCAGTATTGAACTTTAAACTTTTGACATCATTGCAGCAGAGAATGCTCTGTGCTATGCTTGCTGAAAAAACACACAAGGCCATTCAGTCTCATGCACACAGAAGCAGTTTCCAGACAAGGACTAGTTCAAAAAAGCCCTTATGATGACAAGAACATCAGTGTATGTGAAGTAGCCCAGGACATCAACATGGGGTAGGGGTTTGTTGGCGAGTGCCTGGTGGTTGGGTCGAAGGGGTGGAGCGAGGCCATTCCCCAATGGGCCCACCACCTGCAGGGGAAACCATAAGGGAATGGTGCTGAAAGGATTGGGCAGAAGTTGGAGGCAGAGGCTACAGTGACCTGATTCATGGAAGCTCAAAGTGGCTCTGATTGTATCTAATGTGCTGAATGCACAAATCTAAATCCAAACCTAAAAGCACTCTCTTTTTAAATTTTAGTTATTTTACAATATGAAAAGTTTAAGCAATTTATTTTAGCACTTTGATATGTAAAGCTGGTAGAGACGTATCTCACTTGCAGCTGTAATTGCAGCAAAAACTGTCTTGACAAAGTATTGCTTATCAGGCCTGAATACAAATGCAAACTGCCCTAATTAAAATGTTCTGTTCTGTTTGTTATGAATCTCATGCATGGAATTCTAGTAAAATCAGTTGAGGAATCAGTTCAATAAAAAACAAAAAAAAAACTTTAACTAAGTCTCTATAGGTATGGAAAATCATTTAAAAATGAATAACAGGATAGAATAAATATGCAAACACAGTCATTCATGATATAAAAAACAAAGAAACAGTAAAACACAAGGAAATATTGAAATAATGTAATAATGTAAAGATCAGTAACATGACTTCATTTATGTGTTCAGATCTTTCAAACCCAGATGGATTACTCTTCAGATCCATCACAGAGACATCAGTTGAAGTCCAATGGCAACCATTTTACTACTCTTTTGATGGATGGGAGATCAGCTTCATCCCCAAGGTAAAACCTAATGTAAAGAACTAGAGCTATTACATTATATTTGGGGAAAAAAATATTATGTTTGAGCACTTTTTTATGATATTGTAACCCACTAACTAACTGAACCCATATACAGCAGGTGATATAGGTATTACATGCTGTTATTTTTCTCAGTAAATATATTTCTAGAGATGCTTTTAACATGTCTTTTTCTCTAGATGTCCATGCAATCCACACATACAAAGAAATCAAACCCTACATGACCAGAAATTAAGTTGGACATTTCAGAATGAAAATGACCCAAAACACACAGCCAAGGAAAATCTCAATTGGCCTCAGAGAAACAAAATAAAGCTGCTAGAATGGCCCAGCCAATCACCTAACTGCGATCCAAAATAAAAGCTATGGAAAGCCCTAAAGATCAGAGTTTATAGAAGTGGTGCATGAAACCTTCAAGGTTTGAAGACTGGGTAAAAGAATGGGCCAAAATCACACCTGACAATGCATGCAAATAATTTCTCCATACAGCAGGTGTCTTACAGCTCTCACTGCCAACAAAGGCTTTTGTACAAGATTTAAATACATTTCAAGTCAAGTCAGCTTTTATTGTCACTTTCTTCATATGTACAAGACATACAAGGGAAATGAAATTACGTTTACTCTCTACAATATACAAATATACAAGAAATATACAAGACTGACATTTAAAAACTGACATAAAGTGCGGGACATGACAGGTAACAGTGGTAAGATAAATATAAATATGAAGTATAGACATTACAATAAAAAGCAATAAAACAGCAGCAATTGCTTTTTATTGTAATGTCTATATATTTCAGTAAGTGTGTTCGATACCTTTTCCCTGTGCCATTTCACTTTATTACACATAACTTGATTTCTGGACATATATGGCTTGATTTCCTTTTATGTGTGGATTCCATGGATTACTAGCAACATCTGGTGAAAATGAAATGTCAATAACACCTTTAGAAATATATTTACAGACAAAAATGGTGGTGTGTTCAATACGTCTTTCAACTGCTGTACATTGTTTAAAAGTAGTAAGCACAAGCTCTTAGTCATCCTCACACAAGCAGAGCGCCCTCTTTTGCAGCCGTGACAAAGACCAGAACACCCACCAATAGCAAACTGATAAGCCTGGGACGAGTATTGTGTGTTGTGTGGAATAAGAAGACTTAGATAGCAATGGACACAGTATGGCCAGCCTTGGGACCATTCTGGAAAGTCCGATTTATTTTTTATGGAAGAGCTCTGCTTTGTTTGTAATAGTTTTTCCTCATACACTGTCATAAATTTTCTTGTGAGGCTGTAAACTGTCAACTCTATGTTCCATCACTTGAGTTACCAGATGTCCAAGTCTCCAAACCTAGAAAATGTTGGTGTATTGGTTATACAAAATCTACTAGAGGGTGCTACAATATGGTTTGTGATAAATACTCTCAGCTAAAAGATTTCAATTTTCAATGTAAACAAAGTTTTTTTTTTTCCTTTATTGTCTTCCCAAAGTAATAGTTCTGTCAAAATGTTTTATCTGGTTACATCTGTGGCATTGTCACAACATAATATTTTTGTCAATGATAACTTACTTTTAATTTCCTCGTAAAGAATAAAAAGTTTCTTAAAAACCTGAGGAAAACCTCTTAAAACGACTCTGTACTAATGCGTCAGTCAACTAGAAACTTTTTACTGTAGCTGCCACAAAGAGATTGCATGTTTATGTTACCTGCGAAAGAAGCTAAGAGTTATTGCAGTCCATTTGATATGTGTCAGTTTTATTGTCTTGGTTTAGTAAAATTAATCTCTTCACTAACTTAAACTATAATTGAGACAAACTTGATAGATAAAAAAGTTTCAATAAGTAACAAACTGCTTTTTTTCCTCCACATTATAATCCTCATTGTCTTACTTCATGAGAAAAGCTAGGTATTATACTTAAAATAGAAATAGAAAAATGTTTACCTTGACAATAAAGTAAGCTAGAACTAGGGGGACCTTAAAGAGAAGCTAAACACATCTGAATTTCATTTATTTGTTTGTTTTGTGTTTTTGTTTGTCTTTTGATTTATTGACATGAAATAAAAAGGAAGTTTTCAGTTGCAAAAACAGATAACTTTTTATACATTTTCAAAAACCCATACTTAATATTAGTAGTGGCATGCAAATAGTAAATTACATGCCTCAGCTCATTTTATTAAAAAATGGAATTTATCTGTTTTTGCAAATGAACTCTTCAAATACATTTAGGATCCAGAATCTCACTTGCAAGACTTGAAGAGTTGATTTATAATCAACAACTAATCCGGCCTGAATTCATATTAGCGTTAGAACAGTGCAGTGTTAATCATTTCATTGTATAAACCTAAGTAGTCCTGAAGGATACACACACACACACACACACACACACATATACATATATATATATATATATATATATATATATATAATTGGACAATCTGATCGTTTTGTAAACACTGGCTGTTAAAGGGATAAACCATTAAACTCATTTCTCTCTTTCTTTCTAAAATCATATCAAGGTCAGCTTTAAAGCTCAGAAGCTAAAGTCCTCTAACCTTTGATCGACTCCAAATTATAATCTCCCCCTCACAATAATTGGTTTTCTTCTTTAAGGTGTTCTCAGGAGAGAGGTCCTCTTTATGGACTGGCACTAAGCCCCAAATCTGGTGCTGAGATGTTTTTGTGTTTATTTATCATTTTAAACAAATGGTTTCAGTGGCTTTAGCAATACCCCTCCTTTCAGTCCTCACATTTCCCAATGCTCCATTGGCATCTGCCCCCTCTTAAACAGTTCTCAAGATCTCTTGATTACACAGTCCATGGACCATTCTTGCTTGATATTGTATCTGTACCTCTTTTCTTTCTTACTACATTGCATCCTCTCTGTATCTTGTGCATTCCGTCTTCACTCACTGCATCTCTCTCTCTCTCTCTCTCTCTCTCTCTCTCTCTCTCTCTCTCTCTCTCTTTTTCCTCTCTACAGTACATCCACAGGGGAAATCATATTAAGGGTTGGCAGTCCCACCCCCTGTGGATTTAATCCAACAGCAGGAATGGGAATTTTGACTATCTTGTAATGGAACTAG